CCGTGAGTCCGATGAAGATGCCACCAAGATCAAGTTGGAACCAGGGATTGAGGCGTCCGCGGAAGGTGTATCGCTGCAGACGCTGCTGAGTGAAGCAAGATACACACAAAGTCTGAGTGCTGGGAGGAACTCGGACGATGCCAAGGAGGAAGGTCCGTACATGGACCTGGAAGAGAAACCTCACACTCCTCCCCAGGCTCCTTCAAGAGCCCCCGCGGATTGTGACGAGAGTCGCGATCCGCCGAAGCTCAGCCGGAGCGAGACGAAAGAACTTCATCCACAAACACCCCGCCGACCACATGTGTAGGCCCACAGAAGAAGAAGACGAAGTCGGGAAATAAGAAGCTGAAAGCTCCGGACTCAGACGCAGAAGATCATGACGAGCGGACGTGGACCGAGGAAGAACTGGCGCAGATCTTCCACATGGAAGACCTCTTCACGTTCTTACTTGAAGATCCGGTGATGAAGCTCCTGCGCCCGACGTTGATCGGAGAGCTCCACGGCCCGGAGACGTCTCGACAGTTGGATGCCGCAACACAGCTTCTTCGCACACTGAAAGACGCTGGCATCATGCCAGGGGCGTTCAGCGCGAGTGAGTTGTTCGACCTGGAGACGACGGTGATCCACCGCTCAGCGACGTTGCTATACAACAAGCTAGAGCCACTAGTTGGATCAGTCGCACTGCCGGAGACGATCAAGAGGACACCAGTCCGCATCCCTGAATACCAAACAGGGTCGTCCCAATACGCATCGGCTACGTCCGAAGCCGGATCGGACGGTTCGGTCGATCTGGAGCGTATGTCTCTTGGCCCGTCAGGAGCAGCGATGCTGCAGGAACGCCAAGCTAACGCCAAGTCGGGACGATCCTCACGCGAGTCGACGCCGGTCGTAACACCAGCACGAAGTCCCTAGCAGATGCAGACTTTCTTCAACGCTGCAATGAATCGATACCTCAAGGAGAAACAAATGGGAGGATCGAAGTCGACGGCGGGTGGAACCGGCCAGAATGCCCAATATGTGGAAATGGAGTCCGTCGAGTCGTACCACGACTCACACGACGAATACGATCCAGACAACGTGAGCATCGATACACCGCGCGAAGCAGTAGTCGCGTCCGCAGGAGCAGTCACAGGACCGACATGCACTTCATCGGCGATGACGCCCCGGATCCGAGTATCCGCGATCTCGGACTGGAGGAGTACTCTGGCAAAGGCCAGGACGAAGATCGCGCGAGAAGCTGGCTGGGCAAGATGAAGTCTGCGTTTGTCCGAGATCAAGCCCCAGACAGCGAGAATTGCTTGTTGCTGGGCGATCTTCTCCAGCGCGCAACTGGTATCGACAGCTGAGCCGATCAACCCGAGGCAATTGGAAAAGCATATTGGAAGCTTTCCAGACGCAATACTGCGGGAGAGGAGTATCTGTCGCGAGCCAGCACTACCACGCGAAGAAGCAATCGGACGAATCGCCCATAGAGTATAGTACCTCCACCGACTCAATGTGGCCGGCATGCGAGTGAGGCTGCAAATCAAGGATGGCCCAGCAGCCACTCGACGCGAACATGTCGAACACTTCATCTAAACACTGGATGATCGTGATCTGGCCGATCAACTGGCGCTGCTTCGGTTGACGGACGCGGAAGATCTGGAAGAAACCCTACGAGCCCGCCAGCTCGCGAAGGCCCCTCAGGGCAAAGTCCATGCCGGATCAAACAAATACCGCCAGAAGTCGACGCCCGAAAACCAGTCCGTTCCGGCAAAGAATGCGCGATCCGTGCGAGCGATCCAGAAGGCCGAAGACAGCAGTGTGTCGGAGTCCGATGCAAGCGGATTGGAGCAAGAAGACGAGTGCCGCCGGGTGTACCTCGTGGAATCGAAGGGATGGGAAATCCAAGCACCGACGCCGGTACATCAAGACAACCCCGACCATACCACCATGTCGCAGAAGAACTGTGCCCACTGCGGGTCCACGAAACACGACAATCTGGGATGTTGGAAGCGACTGAAGTGCCAGAAGTGTGGGCGGAAGGGGCATCCATCCGACCACTGTATCTTCGTCTGTCGCGCATGCGAAGAGATGCATGACTCTGGGAAGTGCCCAATGGAGGAATTCTACAATCTGATCCGCCAGTGGTATGTCCCGAACAAACATGCGGGAATGTTGCCAACGAACGCGGAGAAGATGCTATATTAGAACGCTCGCCAGGTTGGAATCTGATACGAGCCGAGCGTTCTGAGATATATATTTTTGCTTACGTCGAGAAGCAAGAGAAACCAGAGGTTAGTAAGCAGATCGACAATACATGTGAATTGCACAAGAGGCCTACCTTTGCGATCGCGAACTTGCGGAAGGACGATTACTCCCGCACAGATGTGGTCATGGAGTTAGATCTGCTGCCAGGGGAGTCAAGAGGATACTGGAAGTACCATGCTTCCGGCAAAGGGTTTAAACAGGCCAAGTCTACAGCCAAGATCAACAACGAGGGGGCCACACTTCTCTTTGATTCCGGCGCGGAGATCTCAATTGTGGATTCTACCTTTGCTCGTAAGGTGGGATGCACTATAGACAATAGTCAGAGACAAGAATGCGTGGGGATCGGAGAGAACGCATACATGACCGAAGGACGTACCCGCATCAAGATCACGCTCGCAGGAACATACGTATACTACTTCGACGCATGGGTCGGCGACTTGACGGGTCAGAAAGCGATCTTGGGAATGTACTTCATGGTCCCGGCAGGCATCCTTCTCGATCTAGCCGATGGGTCATTGTGCCTCCCAGACGAGGTGCGCATCCAGCTATCTGGGCATCGGCAGCTCTTCAGCAGAAATTCGAGAGTGATCACGTTCGCCCAACACGGTAACATTCCAGTGGCAGGATCCGTGGAGATCTGTGGCCTGAGATCGCTGTCGGATGAGCAGAAACTGTGGGTCACCCGCGGAGATCGATGGGTCCCAACGGTGGTGAGAGGACCAGGCCGGACGCAGTATCTACGGATCACGAACGTGTCAGATCAACCAATAACGCTGCAACGCGACACCCGTATAGGGATCTGGATCACGTACCACGGACCACAGGATACGTCTCAGTCGGATCACGACGATATGCAGAATGGCAAAACCTGGCGTTCCAAACCACCGCCGACGAAACACCGATAGAGGACTCGGACGAAGTTGTGGCTGAACCGTTGGACGACAGACCGCAGTACAACGCACCAACCGAGATCTCGAAGAAGGAGCCGAAACCGCGGAAGCTGATGTCGATCCAACCATCACCCTGCGTGGAGACGAAGATCGAAGAACCGGCGGCAGGAGGCGAACCACTAAAACCTGAACCGGATGATGCAGATCACGTCACCACGGAAGGCACGAGAGTAGACCAGGAACAGATCGAACCGAGAGATCAGGTAGGTGATCCAGCTCAGAAGATCGGACCAAGCGGGAGCGCTGGTGAAGCCGGACAGGGAAGTCGACGACGACATGGATGACGCCGTCTGTTACCACGAGGGCGGAGACATCTTCCCGGAAGCCATCGAGAACCACATGGCAGTGTTGCCAGAAGTCGAGGCCACCACGAGAGAAGTCACGATAGACGATATCCGGGTGGAAGATCCGGATGCGACGCCGGAAGAATGCGAACGGGTACGTCGCATCATATGGAAGCGGCGTCACCTCTTGATCAGAGCTGGAAACGCACTGCCCCCCCCCCGCTGCGCATGGGGCGATCTGCGATATCGACGTCGGGAACGCGAAACCGGTAGCACAACGTTCCGAAGAGTAGCTCCACAGTTCCGTGAGAAGTTATTCATGCTCATCAAGGGACTACTGTCGGCGACGATCATCGCTCCATCAATCTCACCTTGGAAGCCACCACTGCATATCCGCCTCTGCATCGATTACCAAGTGGTAAACAGCTTGACGAGGCTGATGGTTTACCCGATGGCGTTGGTCAACGATCTTCTCGAGGACTTGGGCAAGGTGCTTTAGTATTGCTCCCTGGACATGGAGAGTGGATTCTGGGTCGTGTCCACGACGCCGCGGGCGAGACGATCTCTGCATTCATCACGCCATTCGGATTATTCGAGTGGGCGAGGATGCCGTTCGGTCTGAAGAACGCCCCGCAGATCTACCAGCGGATCGTAGACAATACCCTATATGGGCACATGCGCATCAAGCCCGGCCAAGACAAGACATTCGATGTGTTCGAGGAGGGCGAGCCGAACCAGAACCTAAACCGTCGATCTTGGGACGGCGATCGTACGTCGACGACATTCTCGTGACTGGAGACACGTGGGACAACATGTGAAATAAGGTCGAAAGTCTGCTGGATGTATGTGATCGTTGGAATCCGTCGATCAGTGTAGCCAAACGCTACTGGGGCAGGTGCAAGGTGACCTACCTGGGCCATCAAGTGTCGACAGAAGGGTTGGAAGCAAAACCAAAAGATCTTGAAGCCTTCTCGAATCTCCCTTTCCCCACCAAACTCAAGTCGATGCAGTCGTTCCTTGGAAGCCTGAATTACTACAACCGCTTCATCGAGGATTTTGCGGTCTATGCAGCGATCTTGTACGAGCTTCGGGAGGTAGAGTACTACCTGATCGCGCGGTTGAAGTCGACCGGAGAGCCGGAGGAAGGGGCAGCACCAGCGGGCGAGGAACGCGATCGCTGGACACGAGCGATGAATGCGTTCACCATACTCAAAGCGAAGATCATCTCCACCCCGATTTTGAAGCACTTCGATCCGGGGCGGGCGCAAGTCATAGTCCTCTATGCTAACAGTTGGGCGATCTCGGCGACACTAATGCAGGAACACAGCGGCGTGTACTGGCCAGTAACTTTCACCAGTCGGACGCTGAAGGCCAACGAGTTGAACTATGCGATCGTAGACAAGGAGGTCTTGGCCCTTCTTCGCATGTTGGACATCTGCTACTCGCAGTTGATCACCTGACCGATCAAGGTGCTATCACGTTCTCCACGCTAGCCTGGCTCCTGAAGTCGAATGGGCTAGACGGGCGTTTGGGAAGGGGGCCGCATTGTTGTCCGGTTGGATGTTGGAAATCACGAAGTGTTTCAAAGGTGAAGAAGACATCTTAGGGGCGATAGCTGCGAGTATCAATCCTCGAGCAGAAGTTGACGAGGCCCTAATCGCAATACCCCGAAGAAACAACCCCGGAAGATGATTGTCATGGTTCCTCCAACCCTAGAGCCGGAAGAGAGCCTGCTGATGGCGGGCTTTGACGGAAGCGTGCGGGAGGCGCATACAGCGCGATCCTCTGGAAACACCCCGAGTGGATGATCCTCGAAGCGACGTCTGAACACATGCCTGATTTGACAGTGAACGAGGCGGAGTACAGGGGATAGCTACTGTGTTTCGATCTCCTCTCGACTCAAGCCAGGGGCCAAGTCGTGATCTGTGGTGATTCCAATTTGGTGATCCGTCAGATGAGAGGCGAGATCGACTGTAATGCGCCAGGTCTACAGCCGTTAAGTCAGAAGGCGTTGAATCAACTGCGATCTTGGCCGAAGCACGAATTCGTACACGTAAAGCGAGACTGGAACCAAAGTGCCGACAAGTTCGCCAGTGCCGCCTTGCAACGTGAAGAAGGCGATATCGTGACAGCCGAGGTAGAACGGCAGGACTTGATCACGCTGAACAGACTGCACGAAATACTGCAACCGAAGTCAACAAGATCAGTCACTCATGTGAACGCGATCACTCGATCTGTGGTAAATCGGACTTCGCCACCAGCAGCGATGGATGAATCTATTGTTCGACGCATACGGCGAGACGAAGATCGCGACGATGCCGTCAGACTGGTGGTGCCGGAAAGCTTGCAACAGGATTTCCTCCACCATTACCACACGAGCCAGGAAGGAGGCCACGAGGGTGTCTGGAGGACATACCGTAGAATCCGGACGCGTTTTCACTGGCGTAATCTGAACCGAAGTGTCCAGCGCTACGTAGGGGAATGCACAGATTGTGAGACAGGGAAAGGGAAACCCACAGATCAAGGAAGATCGCCGGGGAATGTGCAAGGCACGTACCCGTTCCAGGTCATATCCATGGACCACATCCCGTCGCTACCGAAGTCCTTTAAAGGGAATACGGACTTACTGATTTGGGCTGACCTGTTCACCGGATACGTGATCTTCAAGGCTGGATCATCGCTGGGAGCCCAAGCGGTGGCGGAAAACTACGAGGAATGTGTCTTCAGGTGGTTTGGTGCAAGTGAAGTAATCAGGCACGATCAGGAACCGGGATTCATGACAGATTTTTCCGCGCGTTTAATCGGATCGTGAAGATGAGGCAAAGTCTCACCATGTCCTACCACCCACCATGTCCTACCGCCGCAGGGTGATGGAAAAGCAGAGCGAACGGTAAAAACACTGACGAGAGCGCTGAAGATGTATGTTTTCGATGTCAATCAACAGCACTGGGATGACTACGCGGAACGTTTGACGTTTGCCCTCAACATGGCGCAAGATCGGGTGCGTGGAGACGCATCCTTTTATCTGGTGCATGGGTGGGACGCAAAATCAACACTGGAAGCGAAGCTTCCGATTGGATCCACAAGGTGGAAAAACAGCAACGCCCGTCGGAGGAGGTATCGTCTGCAATCGCAACATCAACGGGCGAGAGAAGTGGTGAATAACGATCTCTGAAAGGTGATAGAAGCTAGAGCTGCCCAACATACCGATCGGGTTAGGCCCCACAAGATCGAACAAGGATCACAAGTATGGCTCTACCTGGACCGTGTGAGGGAAGGGTTCGCGAGAAACCTGGCTCACATGTGGCACGGCCCTTTTCGTGTGACCGAGCTCATCGGTGATCATGCCGCATGTGTGAAGACTAGTGGAACAGAATACCGCATCTTCCCTGTGGTGCACCTGTCGAAGTTGAAGCTGGTGAAGGCGTTCCCCGACCGCCCAACTTGCACCCTGCTGGTCGAGGAAAGGGATCGAGTCGACTTTCATGAAGCTCTACTTCCAGAGGACAGCTGGGAGACTCCTTTGGGCGAGGACGAATTCGAGGTGGAACGGATCGCCGACGTGAGATCTGGACGCCGCACGCGATATGGCCGCGTACACCGAGAGTTCCAAGTGTTTTGGAAAGGCTATTGCGAACACACGTGGGTGGACGAGGCCGACCTCAACTGTGGGGCGCTCTTGGCTGAGTTTGAACAAACTCAAACGAACCGTAGTCGGTTCAACGTCATGCATTCGCATGAAGAGGCGTAGGACAATCTGTAACCGAGAGACGGTGCAGGTGGAGAGAAGAAGAATGCGCAGGATGGGTGCACATTGGGTGGAGGGTACATGTAAATGTATGACAGTAATGTTGTATTAGTTAGCCGAGCCCAACGGAGGCTCACTACAAAAGGAGGAAGCAAGAACGAAGAAGTGGAATGGATCAAACCCGCACGCAGAGCCAAAACTCAGAGATCGCCAGATCCACGTCTGTGAGATTCACCATCTCCACCGACAGAACCCGCGTCGGACTGGGTACCGCGGTCAGAAACGTGACCCGCAACGTCGCCTGGGGCGGACCCGGAAGGGTCGTCAGGATCTCCACCTTCGTGATCCCCGTGACTAGGCCCACAGACGTCGACCTGAGAAGCTTCGTCGTTAGGATCGGAATATTCGCTGCTGGAACTCTCGCAGCTAGGCGAAGTGCCCACTTCTATGGGTTGGGCCACCGTTGATCCACCTGATCCACGTGACGAACCGGAGCTACGCCGATGATCAGACCGAGACCGAGACAGAGCAGCCAACACCGGGCCATCCTCACTCGAAAAGGAGCGAAGCTGGTCGGAAGAGGAGCACAGCCCGCTCCCGGCACGAAGACATCGCCGAGGAGTGGAAGAGGCACTCCCTGCAGAGCAGCCGCCAGTCGAGTCGCGCCGCGCTGGAGATGGTGTATGGACGGGAGCCTCTGCACCTCGACCCGGCAACCCGCGGGAAGAGGGACTTCCAGACGCCGGAAGCGAAGTGTCTGCGGGCTCTGAAGACTGTCCGTGAGTGTTGTCTCCATCGGACTCTGCTGACGCGGGGTGATAAGACGAACGTCGGGACTTGGAAGGCGCGGGAGAGGTTGAGTCTGGCGGTGCTTGCGACCCGAACCTGCGACAGGACTGCTCCGCGAAGAGACAAGGCCTGTGGGATGGGGCGCACCAGTGACACGAAGCCAGCGACCTGGACACGCAAAGCGTCGTAGTCACGAGTGACCTGATCGCACTGTTCATCAGCAACACGCCGAGCAGACTCCGAATGGGCCTACGCGTGACGTAACGACGGAATCTCCCCGGTGGTAGCCGTAGAGCGTGCCTTCTACTCGCCAATCTGGTGTTGCAGCGCCTCGAACGCAGTGTGATCCACGTGTAGCTCAGTGATACGCTGTTCGAGGCGTGCGATAGTGGAACGAGCGGGCGAGATATGGGTATCTGGAAGCACGTAGAGAGTTAGTGAGGCAGACGGATCGAACACCAGTACAAGCCTCACCTGAAGCCTGGAGATTAGCGATGGCGTGGTCTCGGGTTCGGTTGGCAGAGCGCAACTCAGCCGTCATGCGAGCAACTCCGTCATTGGCAGCAGCAGCATCATCGCTGGAGCGGTCGCAATCGGCTATGACTTGGTCCGGTCGAGCCTGAGCGCGAGCGAGTTTCTTCTCCAGGGCGGAGATATGCTGCTGGTGCTGACTGATGGAACCCTCGAGCACTTTTTGGCCCACTTCGTGGCCAAAACCGTGGCACTGGCGCTGTCGAGGGCCACGTCACGATGGCTTTGGTGAGCTGCAACCCCGTCCGGACTCGGGACTGTCGCGCATTCGCCATATCAAGCTGGAGCGTCACCAGGCGCCGCGAAGATGGGGGAGCTTGAGCAGCTCGTGCAGCAGCCAGCCGAGAAGTCAAGTCGTCGATCTCGCTGGTCAAGGCGGCGACGATCCTCAGCGTGATCTTCTAGCGCGCAAGCAAAGCTACGACGAGCAGCCTCCAGCTCGATGGCGTTGTCCCGACAGTCCTGCAACGCGTCCAGAGCATCGCCGAGGGACTCACGGAGTTGTTTGAGCTGCGCAAGGGCAGCGCCATACTTGCACTCCGCGAATTCCACGAATGGTCGAGCTGCGGCCCAGCCGTCGCTGACCCCTTGCTCCAACGCTCGTACCGGGCCTGTTGACCCCGATACAGCGCCTGCAAGGATCGGTGGTCATCTTCGATCGATTGCAAGGCCTCCGCACGCAGGAGCGACAGCGCTAGCAAATCCAGCGCCCCATGCGCAGCGGTAGCGTCAAATACCGGTACGGCAACGGACACTGTAGAGGACACGGTGGTACCAGCAGGACTGGAAGCTGCAAATAAGAAAGACGTCAGCAACCTGCAGGCGGTCTACGCTGCACGAAAGGAGGAGAGAAGTTAGGGATAAGTACCAGGCGCTGTGGCGGAAGATGTCGTCGCAGTCGGAGGATGTTCCTGATGGGTGGTACCAGGATGCAGGCCCGAAGGAGAGACATCGGCGGGAGCGCGAGAAGGCATGACCGGCGATCGGAGTTTTCGAGTTTGCGATCCACCGGTTAGTGTTCCGCGTACAAAGCGACCGCTGTACGGCCCCGTTGAACGCGTGGAGCGGCTGTGGTGAAGCGAGATCAAGGAAATTGCGATTGATAGGTCTTGATCGGCGACTGAGGTCTGGGACATGACTTGAGGAATCTACTACAACATGTCTCACGGCTAAACAAATCTGGTGTGAAGTACACGAAGCAGACCAACAGGTATCGGCCTGGATCTACCAGTTTCGATCTACACCGAAGATCGAAGAGGAGATCTAGATCGAGGGCCGAAGATCGAAGAATGAAGGACCGAGGTAGAGATCCAGATCAGAGATCGAGGGTTCAAGATCGAAGATCGGGAAGCATAGATCGAGGGTCACAGATTGGGGATCACGGACCAAGGATCACAGATCGCGGATCGAAGATCGCAGATCGAGGATCGCAGATCAAGGATTGCAGATCGCAAGTCGAGTATCGTTGGGGAAAGTACGTAGTCCCTGGTACAAGACGAATGTGGCTGATATGGGTACAACGACGCTGTGATTACGGCACATGTAGGTACGGTTTAGGAAGGAATGAGTGGCTGTGCGGATACGCTAGGGAGAGATAGGCAGACTTCTGAATATTCTTTGGATCTCTCACATTGGACCACTTCTCTTCTTAAGCCACGTGACACTCCATACCAGGCAGGGAACGTATATTGGCCCTC